GCCATTCCTGCTTTGAGCACTTTTGGTTTGATGAAACAGGTCAGCTCCATAGCCTATGATTTGAGGTCCAGGTTTTTGTTTTAGTATTGAACAAAATGATAATTATATGACTACAGTTTGTCAGATCTGGATAAGGCTGCAGCTCTTGAGCTCCTTGCAGTCACAGAGGAGCAGGGAAGCATGAACTGAGACTTGCAAACACTTTGTGTCATCACGATATATCTTCCTTTACTATGACATCTGAACCAATTCAGTAGCAGTATGTAGCATTCTTGGAGACAAAGTGAACATGACTGTTTTTGGATTGGAATGATTTCTGCCGTGCTTGGATCACCCTGTTTTAACAAAGTTTAGAATCAGGTCTTCCTTTCTGCTGCTCTCTGTCTTTTGCTGGCAGCTGACATCTAAGATAACACAGAACTATAAAATATGGATACCTTTTATCTACAGTGCTGCCTTTAAAAACATTGAATCATTACTGCAAATTGTTTGTACCTTCTTCAGTGTTAGGTATGTGTATGCCAGACTCTTCGAGTAAAAGCCTTGGTTTCTGAAAATGTCTGAATATGACACTTCCATATCCCTTGTCACCACTTCATATAGATTTGTCATGACATTCAGTGAGCCTTGATTTGTGTTTTCAGTTATGCTGATAATTCTTATGGGAAAAACAACTGGCATACTTGACACTGTCTTCTGTTGGGATTTTCATATAAAATACTCAGAAAATCCTACATTTCAGACATGGATTTGTCAAGTAGTGCATTAAAATGTTAGAATTAGCTTTTAAATTTCCATAATACATAGGCACTGATGCAGTCTCACCCTGAGGCCATATACATTATTTTGATAGCTCTTTTACTCCATTTTTAGCATAAGGATAGGTCTTACATCAGGGCCTCCCGTGGCGCAGTGGGTTAAACCGCTAAGCTGCTAAACTTGCTGACCAAAAAGTTGCAGGTTCGAATCTGGGGAGCGGCATGAGCTCCTGCTGTTAGCCCCAGCTTCTGCCAACCTAGCAGTTCGAAAATACGTAAATGTGAGTAGATCAATAGGTACCGTTCCAGTGAGAAGGTAACGGCGCTCCATGCAGTCATGCCGGTCACATGACCCTGGAGGTGTCTGCGGACAACGCCGGCTCTTCAGCTTACAAATGGAGATGAGCACCAACCCCTAGAGTCAGACACAACTTGACTTAATGTCAGGGAAAACCTTTACCTTTACTAGGTCCTACGTCACAAAAAAGAACAGCAGTTCAACATTTTTCAGCAAACATTTTCTTCAAAACTAACCATACGGCCATGAAAAACAAAACAAATAATTCTGGTAAACCTTGTATAAGTAAACAGAAACATTTTCAGTCTTCTAGTAATGACTTGAAAGCTTCTCCCAAAATGTATTTGAGGATGATTTTTTTTCTTTCTCCAGTTTCCACTTATGATTTCTGTTTTGTAAGTTTCATGCTTTATCAACATTTCAGGTAGTTGGTGATCTTCTTTCTTCTTTTCTGTATTTTATGCTCTTCACACATGCTTCATATGTGATTTTGGAGGTAGCAATGTATCTTCTGTGTTGTCCATAAATATTCACAGTTATAGTAGGATTACCAACAGTAAGACCCCATTCTTTCCCAGGTCAAGTTTTCTTACATTGTTTACTACGGACATGCCACTCCAACCCAATATTCAATATCAGTCTTTCTCCAGACTTCCTTTACCATCTTCCCCCAAAAACAAAAATAACAATAAAACACACACAGAGAAAAACACCAGGTATTCAAATGACAAGAAGAGTTGGGTCAGAGCTAGGGTCTCGTACAAAGATTTTGTAAAAATTATCTTCTTTGTCAGAGACTTTGTAAACTGAGGCATGTCTATAGTATAGTATAAAAATTCAATTTGTGCAGTTAAGTACAACTGGACAAATACGACCTTAAAACGACTTGTATATGTTTCTGTAAACCGTAGGTTAGTGTTCCTTACAAAGTAAACATTGAATCGAGGTTGCTGTACTTTACAAAAGTGGTAGATGTGTATATGTATGTTACTTGTAAAAGATAAGTAGGGATACTAGGAGGTTCTTTTTTTTCTGTACACTTATAATTGTGTCTTGTTGCACTGTAGTATTCTTGTCAAAGCATCTGGAAGCCACCTGATGTAGCAATCTACAGAAAATTGCTCTGCTTGTGTGCATTTGTGTTTTGAAGCTTATGCCCTTTGACAGGCAAAGCTTTGAACACAGTTGCTACAATAGTAATTTACCCTGAACAACATTCAGTGCGTAATATGAATGGGGATAACAGTTGGGATAAATAAGCCATAATATATTATGTTGAAAAAAATATTAAGTAACTCAAATTTATTTTTCTCTTAGTGGGTGAAATCAGAGTGGGAATGAGGCAGCCTACCAGATAATGTGGACCTTCATGACCGATCAGTTCTGTCTGGCATTACGTTTTCTAGAAGAGTAGCAGTATTAATCTGTTGCATCGGATGGTGAAGATATACAGACAACCTTGTGGCACCTAAGTGGCACTCTACATTGCCAGAGAAAATATTCCTTTCACCATTTTTCTCTATTTTGCACTACTTCTCTTCCCACAGTGCTGCTGAGAAATAGACTAATGAAATAAAAACAAATAATCTATGCACATAATCTATACACATAATAAAACTGAAAATATGTATGTGTGTATTTGTCTGAGGTGCCCACTTACACAGACAAATTCCCTCCTCCACAAACAGCTATAACTTCCACCTCTCAGGAGACAGCAATGACATTGCAGGTTATAGTGAGCGCCGTAACCATGTCCAAGAACCCCGCTGCTGTCCTTCACAAACACCATACTGCCCACCACCCAAGTGAAGGCTTTAATACGGGGATAATTTCATCCTAGATTTTATGTTTTTCCTCCACCACAGACATCCCAATGTTTCTGACTCTCTCCATTGGTGTGGAATTTGCATGACCCTGCCCACTGCCTCCCCTTTAATCCTTTCCCATTCTTTTCTATGGCACACAGCAAACAGGCATTGATCAGCAACACAACATACTAGAGAGGTTTGGGGAAAATTCACCCATGATTTATAGAAGTTGTAGGTACTGGGATGTATAGCTCACCTGCAATCTAAGAGTACTCTGAACTCCACCAACGATGGACCTGGAACTAACTTGGCACAGAGAACCTCCATGACCAACAAAACATACTGGAGGTCTTTGGAGGGATTTATAGGAGTTGTAGTTCACCTACATCCAGAGTGTACTATAAATCCAAACAGTGATGTGTCTGGACCAAAATTGGCATTCATACCTGATATGTCCAAATTTGAATACTGGTGGGTTTTGAGGGGAATTGACCTGAACATTTTGGAGTTGTAGGTACTGAGATTTATAGTTCACCTGCAATCAGTGAGCACTCTGAACTTCATTAAAGATTGAATTGGACCAAACTTGACACACAGAGCCCCCATGACCCTCTGTATGTCCTGGTTCAGTTTGGGGAGGATGGACCACGGATGCATTACAAATTACCAAACTGATATTACCTAACATCAAAAAACAAACAATGCCTTTTTCAAATAACCTGGGCATAGCTGGGTCCCCAAGATAGTATTTTAATATAATTCCATCTGCCTGTTAGTGCTTTTTCAGTTTTCCTTGTACTCAAGGAAGATACTTGTATGAAACAGGACAGTGATAATACCTCCTTCATGACTAGAAAATTATGCATCAATTTAGGGCAGTCCTGCACAACCTCCACATGTTTGGGCCTCCAACTCCCAGAAGCCCTAGCTAGCTTGTCCAATGGCCTGGAATTTTGGGAGCTGAAATCCAAAACATCTGGAAAGCCTCAGGTTGAGCAGGTCTGATTTAGGGTGAACTTATTTACCCCACAATCCGTCCATGTCTGTTCTCTGTATGGCTTGTAGAAGTCCAACGTGTCTATCTTACTTTCTTCCACTCATCAGTAATGGGAGAGATAGTTATTTCATGGGAACAATGAATGGGGGTAAGTAAAAGACTGTCCCACAAATCCCAGTGTTTCCCTACTGATGTTCGATGTTATAGCCTAAAACAGGGGTCCTCAAACTAAGGCCTGGGGGCCGGATACGGCCCTCCAAGGTCATTCACCCAGCCCTCACTCAGGGTCAACCTAACTCTGAAACGACTTGAAAGCACACAACAACAACAATCCTATCTCATCAGCCAAAAGCAGGCCCACACTTCCCATTGAAATACGAATAAGTTTATATTTGTTAAAATTGTTCTATATTGTTTTTAAGTGTTTTTTGCACTACAAATAAGATATGTGCAGTGTGCATAGGAATTCATTCATGCATTTTTCAAATCATAATCTGTCCCTCCAAGAATTTGAGGGACTGTGACCTAGCCCTCTGTTTAAAAAGTTTGAGGACTCCTGGTCTCAAACATCTGGAAGGCACCAGGTTGGGAAAGACATGGGGAGTAATGAGGGTCTGGATTGTAAAATGTGAATATTTGGGCAGCAATTATTGAGCAGTCATATTCTGTATACTACTAGAAGAGAACCTTGAACTAAAGTGGTGTAGGCCTGTGAAGGGATTGTGTTGTGTCCTGTGCTTATTTGATGTTTGATGTATTTTGGAAAATAGTGCAGTGCAGTAATTTTACTGTGGAAAATGTGCAATTTGACTATTTGACTCTGGATGGCATGATTACACTGAAATGTATTTTAATCATGTTTATTATGCATTTATTTTAATTCAAGTTATTTTAAGTTACTATTGTATGTTTTTAAGACACTATGGAGGTGCCATATGTAAGCTGCCTTGAGTCCTCCTTGGGTTAGAGAAAGGTGGGACATAAATAAGGTAAATAAATAAATAAATAAATATTATTTTTCCATAAATATAATGTTAATGATTCTTGAAGGCAATGTATGATCTTATTATCCTAATATAAGTCAGTCCCATTGAGTATGTTCACCTATGTTATCTGCATTTCTTCTTTTCTTATATTAGGACTTCATATGATGAATCATCTATTATGGCCAATGACACTCTAGAAGGTTTTCATGAAGTGAATCTAGCATCACCGACTACTCCAGATCGCCTAGGAGTATATGAATCTAACGCTTCTGAACAAACTACCTCACCGACTGTCATCTATCGCCCTCACCCCCCAGCTGTGTGCTCCACACCAGTTCAGCCAACTGCTCTGGATGTTGCTGACCTTCCTACACAACCAGTGTATTCATCTCCTAGGCATTTCAATTGTGCAGAAACATCAGGTATCAGGTTGGTTGTAAGGATATTTTACCTATTGTTTTAATAAAACCTTGACATGATATGTTTGTGCACCATGGTCTTCTAAAACTCTGTTTATTATTGGCTATGACTTTTAGAGGTTCTTTTTTTTTGTTCAGTATATATTGTGTGTTCTTCTCTTTCAGCATCAATGTTACAGAAACTGTACCTTGTTCTACCTCAGGACCCCAGGGTGGTCCACTCAAACATGACAATTTCAGAAGGGAAAGCAGTAGTGCGGAAAGAGAATTTTTACAAGGCGCAACAATAAAAGACCCTTCTGAAGGAGGTGACGATGTTTTGGGGCTGAGCACAGATAGTCTCTCTCGCTTGCGAAGCCCATCAGTATTGGAAGTGAGAGAAAAAGGCTATGAGAGATTGAAGGAAGAGCTTGCTAAAGCGCAGAGGGTAAGCTCAATAAATATTGCATATCTTATCAATCTGTGCAAGTGCAGATTTGGCACTGTGGAAAGAATTCAGTTATCTTGAGGATCCTGGCTTTCATTTGTTTTCTCGCCTCTTCCCGAACACCTTTTCTTTAAAAAGCAACATTATGGTTTCTCACCACAGCAAACATCTGGACTTCTTTTTTTAATGCTTAACAGAGTTGATATTGCACTTACTAAACAGTCCATATGTTTATTATTTATTTATTTATTTACTTCATTTGCATACCGTTTTTTTTCACCCCAGGAGGGACCCAGCAAGTAGGCCTTTGCCTGTTACAGACCAATAAAAGCACCACAAAAAATAGTAAATAAATGAAATCAGCAAAACTCGACTTTCCGTTCAGTAGGAAAAATTAAAAGTAGAAAAAAATAGATCTTCACAATTCAGCCTTGGAAAATCCCGTTCTTTAAAGGTGTTGCATGAGAATGTTCTTGCCTGCCTTCAAAAGGAAGAAAGGAAAATTTATTACATTGGGGCAACTACTAAAAAGGTTTGGCTCCAAGCATAATCTAATCTTTCATTTTGGTATGGATTCATCACAATCCTAAAGTAAGACTTCATATGGAAAATAGCCCTAGAATATTTATTTTGCTCAAATCACTTGTATTCTTGATTTCAGTAAACCTAGAAGCAGACATTTGAACTAACTGGTGTTACTGAATAAGCTTCTAAGGCATTGGTTCTCAACTTGAGGGTCCCAGATGTTTTGGCCTTCAACTCCCAGAAATCCTAACAGCTGGTAAACTGGCTGGGATTTCTGGGAGTTGTAGGCTAAAACACCTGGGGACCCACAAGTTAAGAACCACTGTATCTAAGGTAACTCTGATGGCCTAAAAACTGTTGGTCTAATTAGTCTAATCTAGACAAATACTTGAATCTAGAAATCACTAATAAAAAGTCACTAATAAGTGAAAATGACCAGCTTTTTGTGACTATGAAAGTCAGCTTGAAATTTAGATGGAAAAATAAATTGATGAACTCTTCATTCAGGAAGGGGTACTGACAGGGCTGTAGCCAGAAAAAAATGCGGGGGGGGGGGGGGTTGAAACTTTTTTTAGCAAATCATGAAGAGTAGTTCGATAACACAACAACAACATTTTTAATACAGTCCAAAGACCCTTTATTGCTCTGTAAAAGGTATAAGATACAAGGTATGAAAGGTTAGTAAGGCCAAAAATAGCAAAAAAATAGGTGTTTTTAAACCTGAAAAATTTCGGGGGGGGGGGGATGAACCCCTACCCCCCCTCCCAGCTACAGGCCTGGGTACTGAATGTAGTGTGACTGGTGGGGACAAGAGACAGAGCCTTCTCAGCAGTGGCTCCTCAGTGAAATTAGATCAGCGCCCTCTCTCCTGGTCTTCAGGGGGGGAAAAAAGCAAAAACCTGGCTATGGGACCAAGCCTTTGGACAGTAAGCAATACCGTGCAATAGATAATTGATATTTGGAATGGCCCTGGACTAGGATTGTTGGATTGTGTTATTTTAACGTTTATATTAATATGTTTTTAACTGTATGTTTTAATGTTTAAATGTTGTTGTGTTTTTATGATTTAATTGATAGCTGTATGTTATTGTTTTATGTTAGGTTTTTATGTATGTGAGGCACTGAATTTTGCTCTCAATATGTTGGAAACCACTTTGAGTCCCTACCCCCCACCCCCCCCCGGGTGAGAAAAGTGGTATACAAATAAAGTAAAAAAATAGTTATGATTTTATTTAAAAGTGAGACCTCATTGTTTTATACTATCATTTCATATACACCTGAAATTGTCTGTAGACACCTCCAAGGTCTAATATAATACTACTAATAATAATAAAATATAATAATTATATATTTTATATTAAATGTAATATTACTAATAATATTACAGTGTAGTGGTATAGTACAATATAGTAATATTTAATACTAATATTGTGTCGTGCTAATAATATAATATTGTATACACATATAATATTGATAATATTATAATGTAATACAATACAATACTAATAATAATACAGTATAACAATTTTATATTTCATATTACTTGTAATATTGTACTATAATGGTATAGTAAAATATAGTAATAGACAATACTAATATTGTGCTATGCTAATAATATAATATATTGTATGTACATATAACTTGTAAGCTGCTCTGAGTCCCCTTTGGGGTGAGAAGGGTGGCATATAAATGTCGTAAATAAATAAATAAATAAATAAATAACATACACTGAATATTTGACAGTTTACCTAATTTACACAAGCTTGAATTTTTTTCTTGTGTTACTTTGTGAAGTATAACTTTAAGGTAGAATATCCACATCACTGTAATCATTTTTCTTTAGCTGTCACTTTGCACACAAACCCTTTGAAAAGTTGTCATTATGTCTTTTTGTAACAGCTTTGTAAGAAATTGCTTTTAGTCCCCTATACTTCTTGATGGTGGAATACAAATGCCTATATAAATACCTGTATAAGACTATGTGTTTCTTTTTAGAAGTAGAAAATATTATTTTATATTTTGACATGGTGTTTTATCTGTGTGCTATTCTTGTGTCTATAGCATGTAATTAACTTAAGTGATATATTGTTTAGAAAAGCACCTAGATATTAGTGTGAGTCTTGAATAGCATCGCTTGTTTTTTTTTCTCTGCCTGTTGAATCACATGTAATCAATCTATAGAAATATTGCACAGCTTGCAGACATTGGGGTCTTGGAGACATACACAAAAACAAGAAACAGACTTCCTTTTTGCCAGGGCAGTGTTGCTGTTAAGTCAAGATTATTTTTATGAGTAGCTTGAAGCTGCTTAGCCCAGCTTCACCCTGTTCCTGTAAATGACGCTATTCAGACGAAGTGGTCTTGGCACTGGTTTCTCAGTTGTGCTTGCTTTAGAAAATTAAATCTTTGCTACATTATAGTTTTGCTGAACTGCAGAATTTGTAGAGAGCTCTGTAATCCTTTGGAAATGGCATAGAAATGCTGAGCAGTGCTCCTTGTTGTGTTATTACTTTCGTGGCTCTGGGTGTATCATTTTCACCTTGTAGAAATGTCACCTCTCTGTTCCTAGAGTTTGAAGGCCTTGTTTTACATTTCTTTTACGTTTCGGCTGCCCTCTAGTGCTGTGTATCTGTCATGCCTGTGTTGGCACAGATTTTTAGCACTGGTTAATGCAGTAATTCTCAACCTTCATAATGTCGCGGCCCCTTAATACAGTTCCTCCTGTTGTGGTGACCCTCAACCATAAAATTATTTTCATTGCTACTTCATAACTGATTTTGTTACTGTTATGAATTGTAATGTAAATATCTGATATGCAGGATGTATTTTCATTCACTGGACCAAATTTGGCACAAATACCCAATACGCCCAAATTTGAATATGGGTGGTTTTGGGGGCAGGGGCTGATTTTGTCATTTGGGAGTTGTAGTTGCTGGGATTTATAGTTCACCTACAATCAAAGAGTATTCTGAACTCCACCAACAATGGAATTGAACCAAACTTGGTACACAGAATTCCCATGACCAACAGAAAACACTGGAAAGGTTTGGTAGGCATTGACCTTGAATTTCGGGGTTGTAGTTCACCTACATCCAGAGAGCACTGTGGACTCAAACAATGATGGATCTGGACCAAACTTGACATGAATACTCAATATGCCCAAATGTGAACACTGGTGGAGTTTTTGGAAAATAGACTTGACATTTGGGAGTTGTAGTTGCTGGAATTTATTGTTCACCTACAATCAAAGAGCAATCCAAACTCTACCAAGAATAGAATTAGGCTAAACTTCCCACACAGAACCCCCATAACCATATACTGTGTTTGCTAGTTGTCTTTGTTGACCCCTCTGATATCCCCTCTCGACCTCCCCAGGGGTCCACCCCCCCCCAGGTTGAGAAACACTGGGTTAATGCAACTTTGTGCATGTGTAGACTGCCCCTGGCGGTCCATTCTTGTATCCATCTAGGAGAAAAAGCTTGGATATAAAAAACTTGTCCAACAGTCAGGAATTCTGGGAGTTCAAGGCCAAAAACAGCTGGAGGGCTGCAGGTTGTGCAGATCAGAACTAAGCTTTATTGTTAGTGAATGCATGCAGCAGGTTGTTTACAGCAGAGAAAAGCATAATAGGTCTTTAACAATGGATTCCAGCATCTTCTCCCCATATCTGGTAGAATCAGGCTTGTAAGCAATAATTTTACCATCCCAGGATTAACTTTACAGATCTCTCCTCTGGCTGAGGCAAACTTGAAGCTGGATTTCAGGGTAATAGAGGGCAAAGCCAAACAAAGGAAACCGAACTATACAGGTGTGATTAGTCTCCCATCCTAATAGACTGCATAAGCAAGTTGTTTGCTCTTGTGGTTGTTTGCAGCCACCTCTGAACTCCTAGACTAAAGCGTAAACCATTCCTAAGTGTCTACAAACCGTAACCCTTCTTGCTCTGCTAGATTTCTGTTAATGTTTATTCATGATGCTAATGCGAACCTACCAACCTGCTGACAGGGATCACATCTCCTACACTTGTATTTAAATAATTGCAGCCAGCTCAATGACAGTGGATGGAACGATATTCACAACTACACATACATTGTTGAGTTCTGCAAAAGCTGCCATAGATTTAGTGATATTGTTGAAGGAAGCAGAACCCTATGTGATACAGCCAATGTCTTGCCTTTCTTTATAATTTTCTCATTCCACGTATTTTAGCCCTAACTAAATCTTTCCTTATCCTCCTACACTTAATAAACATTGTGGGCAAGGGAAAGGACTGTAACTCCTGAAGAGCCACTTCCCATCAGCGTAGATGTTATTCATTAAATAAGTCACCTGACTTGCTCAGCTTCCTAAGTTCTTGTTTGCCAGTATGCCTAAGATTTTCTTTGTTATCAGTGCTCTTATTCTAGTTCAAGGTATCATAGACATCACATGCATCATGTCAGTAGCATAAATAGGTTTCGGTGTGGCATCTGATCTGTGTTGTAGATACTCCTCTAAATGTTGGACTTGTGCATTGAGGCACTCAGTGCTAGTCAATGCTTCCCATCTGGATTGTATCCACCAGGGACAGTCAATGGTCAGAATTGTATTTGGCCATTTTGGAACTAATGACTAGTACGCACCAGTAGAATTTGAAGTCTGTTGTAGTCAGTATTTATTATACTAAACGTAGCTGTGTGGGGCAGTCATATGCATATATTATCCATGTCTCTGCACCATTTACATAAAGAAGGTATGAGGAGCATGTGGCCCTCCAGATGGTTGACGGTATCTCCCATGAGCCATCAATATGCTTTCTATTGGTTTGCTGATAGGAGTAACTATTCTACAACATCTGGAGGGCCCCATGGTCTACAGCTGTGAAAAAATTGGTGAGTAGGATAACTAAAATAAATAAAGTTTATTTATACCCCACCACCATCTCCCACGCAAAGATTACTGCAGATGCAGACTGTGGCCAGGAAATCAGAAGACGCTTACTTCTTGGGAGGAGAGCAATGTCCAGTCTCGATAAAATAGTAAAGAGTAGAGACATCAGACTGGCAACAAAGATCCGCCTAGTCAAAGCCATGGTATTCCCTGTAGTAACCTACGGATGTGAGAGCTGGACCTTAGGGAAGGCTGAGCGAAGGAAGATCGATGCTTTTGAACTGTGGTGTTGGAGGAAAGTCTGAGAGTGCCTTGGACTGCGAGAAGATCCAACCAGTCCATCCTCCAGGAAATAAAGCCCGACTGCTCATTGGAGGGAAGGACACTAGAGACAAAGTAGAAGTACTTTGGCCACATCATGAGGAGACAGCAAAGCCTAGAGAAGACAATTATGCTGGGGAAATGGAAGGAAAAAGGAAGAGGGGCCGACCAAGGGCAAGATGGATGGATGGCATCCTTGAAGTGACTGGACTGGCCTTGAAGGAGCTGGGGGTGGTGACGGCCGACAGGGAGCTCTGGCGTGGGCTGGTCCATGAGGTCACAAAAAGTCGGAGACGACTGAACGAATGAACACACCATCTCCCCGAAGGGACTCGGGGTGGCTCACAAAAGCACTCCCCAGTGCCGCATCTAAAATAAACAATAAACATAAGCATAAAAACAATAACAACATAAAATTACAACTGCAGACACACTGAACATACATAACATCACATCACATGCAACCATTGCAGACTACTCAAGGTCAAAGGCCCATTTAAAAGGCTATGTTTTTAGGCTACATCGGAAGGTTTGTAGAGTGGGGGCTAATCTAATCTCTCTCAAGGAAGGGCATTCCAGAGCTGGGGAGCCACCACCAAGAAAGCCCTTTCTCTTTTCCCCACCAACCATCCTTGGGACAGTGGTGGGACCAAGAGGAGGGCCTCCCCGGAAGATCTTAGAGGCCGCTTTGATTCATAGAAGGAGATAAGGTTTCAAAGATAGGTTTAACCCGAAGCTTATAGGGCGTTATAGAATCTTCTTTCTCCCCCACTTTCTGTGAAATGGATACCATGATGGATGGAGAGCTGCAAGTTTCTGCTTAGCCGTGTCCCATTGATTGTGGAAATTTCCCACTAACAGTTGTTAGAGCTAGGTGGGGAGGAAATTGGCTTCAGAAAATGAAGTGCAATGAAGGTTTGCCCTTCTTGTGTATTTGCTCAGGTTCATCTAAGAGAGAAATGATCTTATCTCTCTTGTCCATTGTTAGTACTTGACTAGATAGGCACATAAATACAAAGCACATCGGTTCTCCATTTTGTCTAGCTTCCTGCTGTGCTGGATTTAAATTCTGAATTTTCCACAGGAGCTGAAACTCAAAGATGAAGAATGTGAGAGGCTTTCAAAAGTGCGCGACCAACTGGGGCAGGAACTGGAAGAACTTACTGCTAGTTTGTTTGAGGTTGGTTTCAAAGCTTCCTTGTAATATAGTTCTGGGATGGCTGTTGCATGAAGTGGTCAGGTCTTCAAAGTGGGAAAGCTTGGGAAACAATGTATGATTGATAAATCTTGATATTAAAATAGAATTAATTCCTATGTAACTTGGGGTGATTCACCTACATGAAAGTGTGCACATGAATGTACAGGCTGCAGAAATGTCTGAATATATGTGTGAAATTACCCAAGCCATTTAAACAGGCTGCCTTTTTGGGATGGTGCCTTCATTGTTACTTTTTCATATAGCAACCACACCATAATGTGACTGCCTGAATTGTACTTCAGAAACATATTTTACCATTCCAGTGCTGTGCTTTGTTTATCTTAGAGGTGTGGGCAGCTCTGCTGGCAGGGGATTAAAGGTAAAGGTAAAAGATTTCCCCTGACGTTAAGTCTAGCCATGTCCGACTCTGGGGATTGGTGCTCATCTCCATTTCTAAGCTGGAGAGCCGGCGTTGTCCGTAGACACCTCCAATGTCATGTGGCCTTGGAGCGACTGCATGGAGCGCCGTCATGTGGCAGGGGATTACAGACTTTGAAAAGCAGTGTAAAAAGTAATTTGGAGGTTTGATTAGAGGTGCCTTCCATGTCAGTTGAATGGTAAATTGGCTCTGCAGACATTCAAGGAACTGATCACAGTGCTGAACTACAACACCCAAAAAGGATCAGTACCTTGAATAGCTTCTATAAATACAAGACTAAAACTCAAAGTGGAGTCAAAACACCACTGATACGAGAACCACCAAATATATTGAGTTTTGACTAAACAGCTGCAAAATTTTATTCTTGTCTTACGCTGTTGGTAAAAGTGAGGAAAATATTTTCCTTGTTATTGTCTTTAATCGGAAGATCAACCTGTGTGAAGCATTTATACCAGGCAAACATTTGTTCTTACAGGAAGCACATAAAATGGTTAGAGAAGCTAACATAAAGCAGGCCGCAGCAGAAAAACAGCTGAAAGAAGCACAAGGAAAAGTGAGTTCTCACTGACTGTTAATCTTATGGCTGTGACTGAAAGGATTTCATGTATGTTTTGGGTTCATGCATCACTCTCTCTGATGTTCTCTTCCTTTTCCTCTCTTTGTGTGTCTTTGGAGATTTTGAAAAGTAGTTACGAAAACATTCTGAAGGGAAACAGTTATTTGTCAAAACACATTTCATCATTTCCTCAATCTTCACTTTCAGAAACAAAACCCCTTTGAATGCTACTGTATTTGGCCCTTAAGAATTTGTTGTGAATTGAAGCTTTTCATCTCTATAGCATATGTACATATGTTTAATATAATGATATAGATAAGATTCTTAGTGATGCGATTTTGACATAGGCTCACTTCACGCTATCCACTTATTTGGAGCTATGCTGTTCCCTTCCTTATTGTGTTAGACTGTTGCATTAGACTGTCAGTGAAATGCTTCTTGTCTCCTAACACTAGAATTCTACTTTCAGCTTTAATTAGGAGCTCAGGCAACACACCATACCTATAGTCCATGTAGACTCGAGAATACTTGAAAGCAGATTTTCTTGAGATAAATTAATGAGGAAAGTTGTTGAGCTGGAAGGTATAATGCTGTTTTCCTTGAGTGTTTGGAAGTGGAATACGGTGTGTTAGTGGACTTTGATGTAATATTAAGCTCTCTTGAATTCTCTGTTCAGAAAATAGAGTAGTTTGGATAACTGTAGGTGATAACTGGGGGGCTCCTAAAGAATCAGGGTTGTTATATAGCACAGATCATTTTTAATCTCCTGGTTATTAACTTTCTAGAGTTCCACATGTTAGAGCTGGCATGGGAAAGCTTCAGCCCTCCAGGTGTTTTGGACTCCTAACTCCAAAGCAGTTGAAGTCCAAAACACCTGGAGGGCCGAAGTTTTCTCATGACTGTGTTAGAGAGTATTAAAGGCGTTATGGAAGTCTGTTTATACCTGGGAAACATTAAGGGGAAGAACTGATGATGTTGTTCTTGTAAAATGTCATTGGGCCACTGTTCTGTGAGTGGGTCCTTTCTCTGGTTAATAGTCAGAAAAGGAGATGTATTTTGCAGTTCCACCTCTGAGAAAGTAGCCGCCCTGGGAACTTCACTATTGAGGCTTTTTCCATTGGTTTTATATGGATTCTGATTGCAGTATCCACCCTCAGGTATAATTATAATTGTGTTTATTTATTATTTATTTATTTGCCATATTTATACCTTGCCTTTCTCAGCAGGGGGGCTCAAGGCAGCTTACAATGGCATATACACAGTGCCTCAAAACAACAAATTCACCTAAAAATTACAACATATTAGACATGATTGAAATACATTCAAAGTTAAAAACATGCCATCCAGAGTCCAAGGTGTTAGCAGTATGATTCCCAGTACCAGTATTCAAGAATTATGAATTAACACCAATTTCTTGTTTGTGGGTCTCCATAGGCATCTCATTGGTCACTCTGGGAACAGACTGCTGAATCAATACATTTTTGGTCTGATCTAGCAGAGCTGTCCTCAGATATATTATGCTGTTGGGCGTTAATGTTGGCTCTGATCGGTGATCTCAGCTTATGTTGCATCACAATTCTGACAGTTTTATGATTGACTCGGTCTCATAAAAGCCCTGATTCTGTGGCTTGGAATCTCTGCAGTGACAGTGAATCAGTTACCCTGGTGTGACCTCAGAAAATTGTAGACAATTTGAGACTTTACTGTACAATTCCAAAAGAAGAGTTTTTGCAACCACACTGTTGAGGACAAAGTTTATTAGCACTCTCTTCTTATGTTAGAAGTTTTTGGTGGCGGTAACAGGAAATGTTTTGAGAGTGCAGATTATGGGTTTTGCACCAACTCTTGTTGTGCAAAGACTTGTTTGAAGGGGTCTTTTGACTGGGTAGGCAACAAAAGCCATTGGCATGGCTATATAATACCATACATCATATTTGGAACTGTGTGGTTGTTCTCAGTCCTTGGAGTAACTTCACTGTTTGTTGAAATTTCATGTAAGAAACTCATACTTAGAAATGCACCACATTTTTCTTGTTTGGTTATATGTGGCCACAATCAAAAGATAACAAGATTGTTAATGAAGATTTGATGATCTGAATCAGTCACCTAGCCTCTCACCAGTGTAGTGAAATCATGGATCTTTTGAGCTTCAATGCATCTATGATGTGCCTAAAAGTGTCACATCAGAGTCTTGTCTCTATCCATTCCAGTGTTTTTACACTTTTATTTCTTTCATCCAGTTGAATTCTGAAATTTATCCATCTATCTATTCATCTCTCCATCCATCGTGTTTCTGTCACAATGTATTATGAAATGTCCTTCATAAAAAAAGCCAAATATAGTAAAAATGTCTACATCCTTCCTTATAAATTCTTTGCAGGTTGCAAATTCAATCTGTCTTTTTGAATATGTTTATTTAGATTGATGTTCTTCAAGCTGAAGTAGCAGCTCTGAAAACATTGGTACTTTCCACTTCACCAACCTCGCCAACAAAGGAGCTCCAGCCTGGTGGGAAAACGCCCTTCAAAAAAGGTCACACGCGGAACAAGAGTACAAGTAGCGCCATGGGGGTCAACAGCCAGGACCTTGCTGTGATGCAACCAATTGTGAAAGACTGCAAAGAGGTATTTAAAGGGATGAAAAAAACTTTAGGCATTTTAGGTGTGCATTAACATTGTAGCAAACTTATGAAAACTTCCTTCTTGAGAAGCATTTATAAGACAGTAACATGAAGTTTGTGAGATTGTGTTTCTCCTCCAAACAATTATTCCTTTAGGGGAAAGAAGTGGCCCAATAAGCCTGTATTTCAAATATATGCAAACCACAGATTTGACTGCGGTTTTTACAATTTTGACTGCTTTATTCCATTGAGGTCACATTTTAAGTAGGGGTGGCAATATACAGGCTAGGAAATGGGCCAGTTAAACCCTTGTGCTGGCAGGACTGAAGAATCTGGGGAGAGCACAGATGAGCACCCTCTGTCAGCTCCAGCTCCCCATGCGGGACATGAGAGAAGCCTCCCCCAAGGATGGTAAAACATAAAAAACAAACAAACACCTGGGCATTCCCTGAGCAATGATCCTTGCAGACGGCCAATTCTCTCACACCAGAAGCAACTTGCAGTTTCTCACGACGCACCTGACATGAAAATAAAAAAAAAGGACATGATTTGGAAATCATTTTCTTTTCACTTCCTAAGTTTTGTTTTATTTTTTAGAATGACCTCTTCTGGGTCTGAAATGCTCTGTATACCCCAAAACATGGTTGAAATACCTACATCCCATCCTAGAACATTTTATAGCATTTGTTTTACTTCATATATGCCATAGAAACAGTTTTGAGAGCTACATGGAAAATGTAGTTTCCCCAGGAATATTTTATTTAATTTATTTTGTATCAAAAACATTGCATAAATTAATATAAAACTGATAAAAATACAAAGATCACAAGTGGCTAAATATCTTTTGACCAAAAACGGGCAACAGCGATTACATTGTCTGCAGCTTCAAACAATTATTTCTCTGTACATGAGACAGGACATTGTAGACAAGCATACAGATGCGGAGTTGTTTGTTCTGCTCCATAGTCACAGAAAGTGGCGGATTCTTTTAGGTAGTTCCCAGGAGTATGTTTTTGTGTTTTTGCAGTGTATATGTATGATTGATTTAACTATGTAAGCATTGGAAGTAGAGAGATTTATGATGTTTAAGAAAAATTTGGGTTAAGGTTGTAAGATTTGTTTTGTTTGGAGCTGAAACTGTTTTTGCTACTCTTCTCCTACTTGGCATTAAATGTGTGAGCAAAAATGTTTCCTGACAGGAATTTTAAGAAATTAAATCTCGCCATGGGTTCACAATTGTTTCTCTCCAAAGACACAAAGAAAATAATTAAAGTTTTTAATACCTCCAGTTTATTTTTGGAAATTAGTCCCACATGACATGTTGTAATACGAAGACAAAAGGGTGGAAGTTGGCAAACAATGCCTACGCCTGGGATTGTGTAGCAGAACAATGTCAACTGTGCAGCATGGTACCTTGAAGCTAAAGCACAATGTAGCAGAATTAAATAACTCTGGGAAGGAATTGTTAAGTATATGTAAATTAGCAAGGCATGAAGCACTTGTGAACCCTAGCTATATTGTCAATTACAAATTATGGAAATAGAAATATGCCTTCCAAGATACCATAAGTATTGGCTATAGTATGTTCAACTTTTGGACATTTCTCTGTTCTTTTTTTTAACTGTTAGGTTGACTTAGCCCTATATAATGAATTCAGATCCTGGAAGGATGAGCCTACAATGGACCGGAAATGCCCTTTCTTAGATAAAATCTATCAGGAAGATATCTTTCCATGTTTAACCTTCTCCAAAAGTGAGGTAACGTTTTGAAATTGCATATTGTTATTTATATTATTATCACTGCATGACGGAGGGCTTCTTTACCTTGGCCACCTCATGTTTTGATAACTGAGCAGTTAAGTAAACGTGTTACAAACCAAGACTATTAATGTTAGGATGAAATGTACAGGAGATAAGGAGAGATTATGGTTCGTATCCAGGCTATTTGTGACTGAATTTATCCAAAGCATTGACTTGCATTGCGGTCTACAGAGAAGGCCTCCTCTCAGTTCCACTCCTGTCAGAAGCTCGATTGGTGGGAACGAGAGAGGGCGCCTTCTTAGTGATCCCTCCCCATCTCTGGAACTCCTTCCCTAAAGAAATAGAAATGGCTCCACTCTCCTCTCCTTCTAAAAATGCGCCTATGCACTTCAACATATGGAGAGAAGGAAGACTAGGACACTTTAAATGTTGGCTAACCCACTTGTATTTTATGGCTGTTATGATACATCTTAAAGGAAGCACTCCTGTCAACCATTTTTAATATAACGTGTCTTAAGTTGCTTTTAGGGTGTATGGAATGTTTACTTACGTTTTAGTTTTTATGTCTTAGTGGACTGTCCCTGTTTTTATTTTATTTTGATGTTTTTTTATGTTGATGCTTAATTCCTTCGTTTTAAGTTTACTAACCATTATCCTGTATTATTTTGATGTGTCTGTATCCATTTTGAGGCATTGAATGTTAGCATTTTTATATGTAAACCGTTCTGAGTCCCTCTGGGGAGAGAGGGCGGTCTAGAAATAAACTTTATTATAAGGTAAGGTTGAGTGTAATGACTGAATTTGTCCAAAGCATTGACTTCATGGATGAATTTGAATCTTGCCAGCATATATTCCTGTATTCCTGAGTACTGCCTGACACGACTTGTCTTTTCTCAAATCCTGTGTGGTACATTTATTTTTAATAAACACACGTTTTTTGTGAGTGTGTTTGCATGCACTTCTAGGTATAGTTAGTAGCATATTCTCCTTATACTTATGAGAAACCCTAAGTGTTGAAAAAATTAAAGCAACTTCTTGTGATTTTTTTTAGTTGGCATCTGCTGTCCTGGAAGCTGTGGAGAACAACACATTAAGCATTGAACCCGTTGGCCTACAACCTGTTCGATTTGTGAAAGCTTCTGCAGTTGAATGTGGAGGACCAAAGTATGTTTACCGTGGAAGTTTCCTGTCTTTCAGCAGATGTAGGACAATATTTCAAAACAGCTGGCTCATTCCTAGCTCTTTCTATCAAGAAGTGGTTGACAAAGGTTTGGTCCAAGCTGGAAACCCTATAGGTGCTGTAGAAGACGATGGAAAGTTTGTTTTGTAGCATAGGCAAAGGGGCAATTTCTTAATAGAAGTTGCTGTGACAACAGTGGGAATGGCATAGAAGATGTTTGGCCTGGATGGCCTTTGTGGTCTCTTCCAATCTTGTGTCTATTATTTGAATGTTGAATAGTGTTCATTTGTTGTAAAGGTGGAGAAAGCTTGTAAAGCATGCAAATTATAGTATATGTAAAAATATTAGGTATTTAAAATTTGAAAGGCAAAAAATATGTCTGCCTAAGCACTTTCAACTGAAAGCATTACTAGGTATGTGTTGTCAAAGGCTTTCATGGCTGGAATCACTGGGTTGCTGTGAGTTTTCCCATTAAGACCCACTAAGAAAATCCAACAAATGCTACATTCAGCAAAGGACAAGAGGGATCCTCTCACCTCTGCAGGAGCCTACCGTATACCTTGCAGCTATAGACAAGTCTACATAGGGACCACCAAAAACAGCATCGCCCAAACACGAACCAAGGAATGTGAATGCCACTGCAGACTGATTCAACCAGAGAAGTCAGCCATAGTAGAGCACTTGATGAACCAACCTGGACATAACACATTATTTGAGAACACAGAAATGCTGGACGACTCTAACAACTACAATATCAGACTACACAGAGAAGCCATTGAAATCTACAACCATGTGGACAATTTCAACAGAAAGGAGGAAGCCATAAAAATGAACAAAATTTGGCTACCAGTATTTTAAAAAAACTTCTAAAATCAGAACAGTAAATAAAGAACAACACTAAAAAAGGGAATTCCAGACAATCAGGACCAGCTAACACCTCCCAACAAAGGATTCCCCCAGGCAGAAAGTAGCTAAGGTTTGAAGCTGTAAGGCCATTCAGTGTTAATCAAGGTGATCAATTGCAGCATTCACACTAGCCTCAAACAGACAAGAGTTATTTTTCCCACCCTGGACATTCCACAGATATTTAAACCCCTAGTCTCCAACAAACCTCACATCCTCTGAGGATGCCTGAAATAGATGTGGGTGAAACGTCAGGAGAGAATGCTTCTGGAATATGGCTATACAGCCTGGAAAACTTACAGCACCCATTACTGGGTATTCTTCTCCGTATATAAATACTCACTCCACCTAAGACGTGTGAAATATGGAAGAAATAGGATGAGATGGGATCAATATCTAGTTATCATGTCCTTTAGTAACTGTTGGCATCTTTAATCTCATCCATGAATTTATTTTTTAATGCTTTTAATGCTGTCCATTGACTTGGCGAGCCCCCCCTTTTTCCTTTACTTAGAATGGTGCCTGTAAATCATTGTATACAATGTCTAGCTGTAAACACCTCTACCAGACTTCAGTTTTCCTGTAGATTAATTTCTGAAATACTTTCTAAACCTGTTTCACTTTGTTCTGTTAGGAAATGTGCTCTCAGCGGACAAAGTAAAACATGCAAGCACAGAATCAAGTTGGGAGACTCAAGCAACTACTATTACATTTCTCCCTTCTGTAGATACAGGGTAAGTATTGCAATTCCCTGTGTTTTCACTCAGCTTGTGTTTCATGGAAATAAGTAATATAATATGTTACGTTATAATTACTATGCTTCTTCTTTTTTTTTTTGTACAGATCACATCTGTATGTAACTTTTTCACATACATTCGGTATATTCAGCAGGGGCTTGTAAAGCAGCAAGATGGTAAGTGAAGACTTGTGTCCAGTACAAACAATTATTGAATGTGTTGACAGGTTTGTATTAACATAGGCCAGGAAGAAAGGCCTGAAGGTGTTGATAGATTAGTCCAGTGGTATAGCTGATTTAGTCTGAATCAGTATGCAAAGTTATTGTCGCATGGGCAAACTTCAGCCCTCCAGGTGTTTTGGACTTCAGCCTGTCAGGAATTGTGGGAATTGAAGTCCCAACACCTGGAGGGCCAAAGTTTGCCCATGTCTGTAATGTAGCATTTATGAAGTAACTGGGAAAAAGAAGTTCATAGCTTTAACATCCATAGACTTATACCTACTTCATCATATTATGATAGATGAGACAGAACTGATTCATCATTTATATAAGCTACGCATTTGCAGTTGCTTTTTCCCAGAGAGCAAGAGAACTCATGCCTCTCCAGAGGAAGAGATGCAACACTTATTTCTAATCACTCTGCCATAACAGTGGTGACTGACAGGAGTTAGAGTATATCAACAATTGGAAGAGTTGGAGTTATATCTTGAATCAGCAGTCAACTTTTATGTAAAAAATACACTATTGGCTGACATTTAAAAATATTTTATAGACTTCAGTGGGCAACATCTTTCACTTCAATTTTAAAACATAAGAAGATTAATCAATGTCGTGTTAATGTATTTCCTTTCTTTTCCTGCCATTCTGTGTCTGATTGAGCTTATCTTTGTGGCTCTCAGTGGTTAGGCTTCATGGCCTCCAAAGTTTTTTCATTGCTACAGTTGTACTCCACAAACTGTTCTAATCTTTTTCCAATGCAAAAATACTTCTTATGAAAAGATTCTAAAACTAAAAGATGAAGTAAAAATTTGACTTTTCAACATTCTAGCACAAAAAATTAATGGTGTAAAGGGCAGACTTGGGTTTTTTTTTGTATTATTAACTTTTAAGTCACCAAAAATAAGTACATTTTAAGGCAATAAATCTTTCAGATGTGCATGCATAGTTATTCAATTTTGCTAGTTGCTTTTTTGAAGTTGAATGAAAAATGCATTAAACTACTTCACAGTCCTGTTGTGAAATTGGGAGTGGGAGAGATCTCTTTTAAACAGTAGTTCCCAACCTTTTTTGACCAGGGACCTCTTAACCAGGGACCACTTTGACCATGGACCATTCCGCAACAAGGTTTACGAATCAGTTTTTCGTCAACTTTAGATTCGGTTTAATTATTTGGGGTGCTGATTCAGAAAATTGCATTGGATAAACCACATCAGCTCTTGTTTCTGCTACAGAATATATGTCAACCAGTAGTCGCCATCTGCTCGCCCACAGAAAACCATATTTAATTAGTCTCGGTGCTATAAGAGGGTTTTGCAAGACCAGTTGCTCTCACTGCAACTGTGTAGTAACTGTGAGACCATGGACCATATTTTAGTTAATGCAGACCACTGGTGGTCCATGGATCACAGGTTGGGAACCACTGCTTTCAAAGGACAGTAAGATATAAAAGTAATCATTATTACTCTAAATAGGATGAGGAAATAGTGCTCCCTCCCAAATTGGGAGGGAGCAAGTTTGTTTTCTGCTCCCCTGGAAACTAGGATGCGGGACAATGTTCAAGTGAAATCAAGGAGATTTCACTTGAACATTAAGAACTGTGAAAGCTGTTCAGCAGTGGAACTCTCTGCCCTGGAGTGTGGTGGAGGGTTCTTCTTTGGAGGTTTTTAAACAGAGGCTGGATGGCCATCTGTTGAGGTGCTTTGAATTAGATTTTCCTTCTTCTTGGCAGGAGGTTGGACTGGATGGTCCACGAGGTCTCGTCCAACTCTATGATTCTATGATAATCTGCCTTTATCTCTTTTGTGTTTCTCCTGGCCCTTGTTGAGCTCCTCACAGTTTTTCCACTTGTGAAAGGACAAAAGTCAAACTGCCTCCAAAGAAAAGAGACTTACTGTGAATCCTCCCCAGTCCTCCCCTCCCAAAGTCCCAATATTGGTTCAACAAACCAGAAAGTCACAATCAGAATGAACGTACAGTTGCAATTTCCAGTTAGTTTGTAGCTGAAAATTGGGTGGTGCTCTGCACTGCGGACAGTGATAGATTTCTGACCTCATTGCAGTTGATTCTTCTTTTGTGTTAAGTGATCAGTTAGATTCCATCTCTCTTGCTCCAAGCAATAAATTAGTCACAAAAATGAGTTTTAGAATGCAATGCTATGCTGGCCAAAACAACTCCTACCATCAGCCAAAAAAGTACACTGGCACTCAAAGGAAGTGGAAGAGGCTAGCACTTAATGTTTTCCTGATGCAAATTGCATTAGTCATTTGCATTTCAGGAAAATTAACTTCGAATGCTGCCAATAGGTGCATTATTTTTCAAACGTGGCATTAGTAATATATGGCATTTGTAATTCTGGATACGCAATATATATTATTTGATATGTTTCCATAATAGACAGCTGACAGTGTTTTCTCAGTGTCTGGTTGGTATCACTTCTATATGTGCGTTTGAGAATGAGCCATTTTTGTACCTTGCGTGAATGGAAAGGAGATACTTTTTAATATGTATATATGACTCACATATACATATTTGTATATATGTTTTGATGATGTCAGTTTTTCTTTTATTGCAGTGGATCAAATGTTTTGGGAGGTAATGCAACTGAGGAAGGAGATGTCAATGGCAAAACTTGGGTATTACAAGGAGGAGCTGTAACTACTCAACTTCTGGTGCTTGCATGAACTTCCATAAATTTACATATCTTTTGATTGAGTCTAAATCCTAGTCATTTGATATTTATTTTGAAAGAAAAAATGGGTCCAAGGCTTCTACTTTTGTGCAAATTGCACTCCATATTCTTGTAATTCAACAAATTGTATAGATGAAAGCTATATTGTTCATTCGAAGTGAAGGCAAGAAGATTTTCAGATGTACTTGCAATTGTAACTTCTGATTGAGAAATGCCAGTTAAATGCTTTTTGGGATTTGTGTTTGTTTTTGTGTTCTGGAAAATTTTTAATGTAGAATTTCAGCTTAATAAAAGTTAAATTAGAGCCTTGTGATGTCTGAAATATTTTTAAAGTTTTGTGCGCATTCTGAAAACTGGATGCATGTTTCTTTATGTATGCTAGTATTCTTAAAGATAGCTCAGGACACTTCCACACAGCCCTATATCCCAGAATACCAAGGGAAAAAATCACACATTATCTGCTTTGAACTGGAATATATGGCAGTGTGGACTTAGATAACCCAGTTCAAACCAGATATTGTGGGATTTTTTGCCTTGATATTCTGGGATATAGGGCTGTGTGGAAGGGCCCTGTGTTAGTATAGTCTGACAAATACAATAAGCTCTTGGTATTTGCTGAGGTTTGGTTCCAGGACTCTTTGTGGATACTAAAATCCATGGATCCTTGAGTCCCATTAACTATAATGACATAATAAAATTGTACTCCTTACCTTACATAAAATGGCAGAATCAATGTTTTGTGGGGGAATATTTTAAAGCCATGAATGATTGGATCTGTCGATATGGAGGATCAGTTGTGCACACAGCAATACAAAACAAGAACTAGTATTTACTATTATCTACTATCATGGTTCCAGTAGGAGATATTAATTTTAATGATCTTGACAGAATGGTCTTAGCTATTCTTTAAATAAACAGACTCTGATCAGTAAAGGGACAAATGCTGGTGAGAGCAGAAATAATTCTTCAGATTTTTCTCAGAGTATATATTCTAGGCTTATTTCACACATTTTTGCACACCTTGCACTATTTCCTGCAGTATTTTATTTCAGGTGAGCTGTCAAGGAGCAGTGATCTCCACACAAGTTAAGCCTTTTCCATAAATAAAATGCTTGGGCATTTAAATGTCAGATATCCACAGATAGTTACATTTGATTTCTATCAGCCTAGCCTTTCACTTACCTTGCGTGTCATCTTTTCAAGCTGTTCTCTTTTAAACATATGGTTGCTCTCATTATGCCCAGTAAGCACATTTCAATGAAACCAGGTCACATTGAGACCCAGATAATGTCCAGGTGCTGTTTTTCATCCAGTTTGGGTACAGTTTGCAGCCTACTTTTGCACACCTACACAATCCGTTTCAGGGTGGTGGGGTTTGTTGAACTACAACTTCCAGCTACCCTATCCAGTAGTGAGAGATTTTGGGAATTGGGGTCCAACAACATATAGAGACTCCCATATTACTCATCCTTGATTTGTACTGAGGTGTCTTGTCTCCTTGTTTATATTCATGATGGGAACATCAGACATCTCACTCATGACATCTTCACGCAGTGGGCTGCAAAGCAATAGTAGTTCATGTCAGAAAGTCAGTGAACATTTCAAAATCTCACCTAAATTGTAAACTCTGAGCAACATCTTTCCCTACAAGTGATCGAAGTCTTTGTTTTATCAAGCTCAATATACCTGAATAAGAAAACTTTTTAAACTGGAGACTTTGAACCAATGGGAGCTGACTTGGTAAATTAGGTTGATACGGAGTAACAGTGGTTTATTCCTCCTGAGCTCTTACGGCGTGTATCTCCAAGATGGCATCTTTAAAACAGGTGGGTAAAGTCTGGCACTTCAGACTGCAGTTCCAGTATCTTTCATAATTGTATATGATGGGAGAAACCCACAAAGGTTTCTGTGATAATCAGTGGGTTTGGATGGGAATGAGCTGTTCATGCCCAGTTCTGTGTTGGAACATCTCCCGGATGGTTGCTTAGCAGACTTAAATGGTTAATTACAGAGCTTTAGGATATGACATTTCTTTTGATACCTCATGTGCTCTATTTAATGGTATTTTTCCACCTTCTTCTGACTTGTATTTTCTGTGAAACCTTTTTCAGAAGTATAATTATGAAGTAGAGTAGAGAATTCAATTTAAACTTTTGGCTGCATCTTTATTTAGGGAAAGGATGGAGATTTTGAGGTCCTTCAGATGATGCTGGATTGCATCTCCTGAAAGACCCAGCCAGCAAATTCAGTAGTGATGAATGTTGGCAATTGCAGTTTAACATCTGGAAAGGTGCACAATTCCTGCTCCTGAATTAAGATATTTTTTGGCTAAGATCCTGCATCAGCTGATGTATTGGAAAATTTCATCCAAGCAGCACAATGAGATGTCTTACCTCCCACAGGATTTACCCTACATGTCCAATTAGTAGGCGATGGACCAAAAAAGTGCAGTGACCAAAATTTCAATCTGGTTCCCAGAATGTCAGTAAAAGAAGATAGTCTGCAATAGTCTCTGCAGGCTTACCATCTTAAAGACACTGCACAAACATAAAAGGGAAAGGGAAGGGATTTTTTTTAGTCATATAGTCTTTTAGCAAGGAGTAGTGCAATGACTGCTTCTTAACTGTTAAAATCTAGCTATCGGAATTGAAACTGAGGGAAGAGCCTTTAGGATGTATGTCTATTGGAATAGCCCTGCATCCCATCTTGGTTCACTCTACTTTCGTTAGTGTGTTCATCGGGGTGAAGGCAATGGTTCTCAACCATAGGTCCTTGTATTTTGCTCCTGGAAAAAATAATAAATAATAATAAACTTTATTTATATCCTGCCACCATCTCACCAAAGGAAACTCGGGGCGGCTAACATGAGGCCAAGCCCAGAATTACAGTATAACAAAATAAAATAAAATACAAACAGCAAACAATAAAATAAAAATAAAATACATAGAATAACAGAAAATGAAATAAACAGATGCAAAATAACGCGATGAAGAAATAAAATGGAAATCACACCCAGCATGGACAGTGAAGAAGGATTCGGGTGTTGAAGTCCAAAATCTGCAGGCAAAAGGTTGATAATGATCGAGTGAAGAAACACTAATTGTGATCTGTTAAGGACCTTGAAGTATACCAGTTCTGTGCTTTTCTATCTTACCTTCTCAACCCTTCTGTCAAATTATTCTCAGATAATAAGGTACAGAATTAATATCCCTGAGTCATCCCACTGGAAAGCCAGTGTGATATAGTGGTTTGAATGTTGTACCAGGACTCTTGGAGACCAGGGTTCAAATCTGCTAGTAATACATTCTCAGCTTCAGAGGAAAAATGGCAAACACCCTTGGAACAAATCTATGTTAAGTAAAGTCAATTAATGGTTGCGTAAATCAGAATTCCTTAAAAAGTCAGTTACTTTTACATGGGAATGTACAGAATTATATTCAAATAGTTTAAATACACTTTGTGGAAAAGCTGGCATCTTACCTTCTTTGAGAAGAAGCATTTCCTGTGTTTTGAAGCTGTGTTCAGCTGGCAGTACTCAGGCCCATAAATTATGGTGCATTTGACTCTAAAGCAATATTGGTTTTGGAGAAGGGTGTTGGTCATAAGATAGCACAATGAAAGTTGTGGCAGATTTTTAATAACCTTTATGTGTGCCAGGTTCAGAGCAGTTCAATTTTGGCACTGCTAAGGCACTCAGAAGCTTTCCATTCAATATACTGATGTATCTGGGCATGAATATAGGAGCATTGTGTTACTCTTGTCCTTCTCCAGAGGTTATATGTTGCAGTGTGTTTTCCATTGCAGATAGAAGCAAGTAACTATGAAGTATGTTGAACGAGCACCATATTTTTACCCATTGGCTAAAACTCTTTCTTTCCTGGAAATCTGCTATGGAGTGCTATCCGACCTTGACTTTGGGAAGCTCTCTTTTTCTGGCCGTCTTGTTGATGTCTCAGTAAAGCTTCACCTCATCTGTGTAATATTCTTTACCCTACTTGAGTATATAAAATTACAGTTAGACAACATAGAGTACAGTTAGACCCATTGTTAAGTTACCATTAGGTGGCAAAGTGGTGTTAAACTGCTGAGCTGCTAAACTTGTTGACCGAAAGGTCACAGGTTCGAATCCAGGGAGAGGCATGAGCTTCCCCTGTCAGCCCCAGCTTCTGCCAACCTAGCAGTTCGAAAACATGCAAATATGAGTAGGGAAGGTTACGGCGCTCCATGCAATCATGCTGGCCACATGACCTTGGAGGTGTCTATGGACAACGCCGGCTCTTCAGCTTAGAAATGGAGATGAGCACCAACCCCCAGAGTTGGACACAACTGGACTTAATGTCAAGGGAAAACCTAAGTTACCATTATAGGGGTTCCCAGATAACACATAAAGTATAAAGTATATACTCCCTCTCCTTCTGTGTACTTCTGGGTGTAGTAATTTTGGAGTTGGGTCTGCCTCTGCAGTGGCAGATGAGAGCTTCAGCTATGAGCTCATCTGTTTTTGAGCTTAAGAAAGCCTCGGGGATTGTATGGGATTGTCACAAGTCAAAAGGCAACTTGAAGACACATATGCACACATGTAAGCCAAAATACCGAGACTTGCCAAGCTCTTGACACCATCTTTCTTTTGGTAGTTACAGCCTTTAGCAGACCACAAGATGCAGCTGATGGGAACTCTGCTTGACTTCACAGTGGTATAGGACTGTTGTGGCATACTAAGCTTTTCCTCCCCATCTCCCAAATGTTGTAGTGTGTTATATAACCCTGCATAGTTTACAGGTTTGCTCTATACTCAGTGAGAAGTCCCAATGAAGTGTTGAGTTTGCTATTTACTCCAGTATTGAAAGAACCAGGATTTGCAATATTAACTGAACATTTCTTCTCACTGTCCAAAGTATTCTGATGTGATCAAAAGGCCATTGTAAAGCCAACTAAAGGTTGCATAAACTAAGGGTCCCTGCTCCCCACATTCTGTCATTGCTTCCACATCACCTCCTTCTTTCCAGCCTGTTCTCAGTCATATGCAACATTTGTCCATGTCAGCCCTGCATGTGATGCAAGCAGCAAGCCATAGTCCTTCTGCCACAACTCTTTGTTTCCTTCCAACTAGAACTCACCAAGTTTTCTGGCACATCTTTGGTGTCCTGTCCCTCACCCGAGTTCTCTAGTGGGGTTGTCTAGCTGTACCTTTGAGTAAGCCAAATCTGCCTTGCGAATGGACAATGCCTACTGTTCTACAGAGGTTGCTGTGTAACATTGCTGTGAGGCGGAGCGTGGGTGGGACAAACAAATGATAAAACCAATGCAATCATTAACTTAAACGTTGACCTCATCTTGGCATAGTAGTAGTAATACTGGTAGGGAATATTACAGAAATCCAACTAGCTTTATTGACCATTTAATACTAAAATGAATGTGACCTTTGTTAACAAAGGTAGTACTGTTTTCAATAGACTATCCTTTTCAAGTGAAAAAGTAACCATAATTGAGAGAGATGGAGATTAGAGACCCAAACATTGACTGTTCACAATTACTACAGGAGGCCCTTGGTATCTGTTTTGCTTTAGTGCCATGATTCCCCTGTGGATGCCATAGTCTCTGAATTATATACAATGGCACATAATAATACCAGCCCTTATTTAAAATGGAAAAGGGCTGCTTTTTGGAATTTTGCAAGGGAATATTTTTAACCTGACGGTTTTCAAACATAGCCTAAGCAGGCATATGTGTCATCTGCCCAAAATCTTCCCCATTTAATAGACTTTATAATTATAAACCTTTCTACTTTTGCATGTTGATATAAAATATCTTATGCAATTATTTTGTTGCAAATTTGTATCTTCTATTTTGCATGTTTGTAAGTTGCCTCCTTAGTGTTTGTGTATTTGCTGTAAAAACAGATCACATAAGGCATTCTGTTTATGGCTTTGTTGTGCATGTCTTCAAGTACTTAAGGTCAAGGGGGTTTCTGGAACTGAGTGTGTGTGACTTGCCCAAGATCACCCAGTGATTTTCCACAACCAAGTGGGAAATTGAACCCTGGTCTCCAGAGTGTAATCCAGCACTCAAAGCACTACACGATGACAAACACAAAGAGCCATTCCCTACACAATGATAAACTTCTGCCCTACCTTTAACTGTTGCCCAAATGCCTATACCAAGCTGATGGAGAACGAGGGAGCAGCAGAAAAATGCCCAGTGATGTCCCACAGTACCGACTTTATCCTCAGGACATGTCTTTGTGGTTCTCCTGCTATCCATTGTCCATGAAATTGATATAGGTGTGGTGGAAATTAGTTGAAAGTGAGGGTTTGTGGGGTGAAGTGGAAAATAATTAATTGTTCCACCAATGTGGAACTTTACATCACATCTCCTTTTTCAAGGTCTGAGCCATTAAGACATCTATGATTATCTGTATTTGAACTCAACTGGTAATCAATGAATATATCTATTTTTAACAGTACAGTGCTTTCCCCTCCCATCCTCCCATGTATCTGTCCATAGCATTTACTCTTTTTCACATAAACACATTAGAGGGCCATACAGCAAGGAGATAAGCTACTTTTACTGCCTTTCTAATTGCACATGTGTTGAATTGTAAAGTGATTTTGAGGGTAAAGGTCCGTAACAAGGAAGGAAGGACGCATTTGTCATGATCTACAGCCATTGTTAAGGGGAAATGCTGCGTGTAATTATTATTCTAAAATTGTGGAAGGATTTTAGGACAAAAATCACAAAGAAACTCTCAAAACTAGTTGGAAACTCATGTGCAAAGGACTGAATTTTCTGTGGCAGCCAACCAGTGGTTTTCCTGTAGGAATGGGACAAGGTATCTCAAGGCAGTCAGAGCTGTAATAACTAGACTGTTAGGTTGGAGTGCTTCAGGTGAACAGTGTGAGAAAGAGCTGGATTCCTCCTATTCCTTTCTTGTCCATGGACGTAGTGGATGAAAATGAGGCCTTGCAGCAGTTTTTTGAAGGTAAGAGACTGGTAATTAAGGAAGGAAAGTTTTCCATTGGAACCACTGCAGTTGGTTTCATTTTATTCTGTATCATTGTTTCCTTGCTCATTATTCCTGAAATATGGCTTATGCTCAACATATCTTGCTGGGTTCCTCTGCACTTCTGCTGTTGAAGTTATCAGGCATGTGCATAGGTAGCAAAATATTCCTCATATTTATGTCCTACTTTCTTTGAAACTAAGATAGCTTTTATGTACCATTCAACACTATATGGAATTTTAGGGTGGTGTGCAAACCATTGAAATGGTATCCTCAATCTAACACAGACTGCACATGAAAGTATTGGGGTCTCATAAAAGCAGTCATGTTTTATACAAATCTACAGGCTGTCATAATCTGTTAGTAACCTTTCCAAGGTTTCCCAGTGTGGCTTCTTTCCCTTTTATTGTGACACAAAGTCCAATGCGGTGCTCACAGGTGTACATGTGCTTAGCATTACACTTCTGACTGCTTTAAATTGTTTCATTTTAACTTGAGAAATAACCAGTCTGGTAAATGCACCAACATTCAGTTTAGCCTTTGCAGAGTTTTATTATGTCATCCATTCATATTAATCTGGATGGATGCACACATATACACACAATGATTTGCACCCTTGGTAAATATAAGTATTTACCTTATTTATTTATTTATTTACTATACTTGTATCATAACTCAATTATAACAATGTTGGGGCAATACCAGATTAACTTTTTTGTGGGATGATATCAAAATTGCAGTGTAGATCAGTCGTTCTCAACCTGTGGGTCCCCAGATCTTTTGGCCTACAGAATTGAAGGCCAAAACATCTGGGGACCCACAGGTTGAGAACCACTGGTGTAGATGAACCTTTGGTCTCAGGAGTAGTCTGTATAGGATTTCTCTGATAGACGATATCTCAGAGACAATGGCAGTGTCACCATAGTTCACACTTACTAGTACCGAACAGAAGAAGGTGCTGGTTGACCACTTCCTTTTTTTTAAATAATAATTTTTTTTATTGATTTATCACATTTATTACATACTATTGCATTTTGTACATCAACCTCCTTAACATGTTGTTTTATTGTTTTGCTTTGACAATTCCCCTCCTTTTCTCTTTTTTCCTTTTTTTTTTCGCCACAGTGCTCCCCTCCACCCGTCTCAAGCCACCATTCTTACATTTCATCTGTCCAAAATTTCATTTCTTCTTGTGACGGTAATTTTCCTTCCTTATTTTTTAATCCATTTACCACAAATCTTCCCCATACAGCATCAAAATCGCTTTGTTTCCATGTACCTTTTTAAACCTTTAATATACATGTCAATTTATCATTTGTTGCTATTTTCCATGCTTCTTTATACCACTCCTCTATTTGTATATTCATTTCTTTTTTCCAATTCCTCGCTATGAGCAGTCTTGCTATAGTTAATAAGTTTGTTATCGCTTCTTTATCCTCCTTTTTCAATTGCTTATTGTTATATAATGATAATAAGGCTATACAAGGACTTTTATCTACTTTCATATTCATTATAGTTTCTATTTCTCTAAATACTTTCTCCCAAAAATTATTTACATATTTACATTGCCACCACATGTGTATATATGTTCCTGGTTCTTGACACCCTCTCCAACAATTTACTGAGTTATTTTTATTCATATATGCTATTCTTACCAGTGTTAAGTACCACTTCCATATTAACTTGTAATAATTTTCTTTAACTTGTATCGATAAATTTTTTAAATGTCTTTGTCCCCATAACTGTTGCCACTCTGTTTCACTAATTTTCATCCCTAAATCCTCTTCCCAAATCTCCTTAAGGGTATACTTTTTATTTTTTCATCCTTCATTTCAATTAGTA